TTTCTGTTAAAGTCTACAGAATTAATTTTTCGACTTTAAAGAACACTATAGTTTGGGAAAAACGTTTCATGGCGATTTCTCTTTCATCTATGAGTTTTAAATGCTGAAAATTGTTTTTCAAAACAACAAAATACAAACGAAATTACGACAGGATAACTCCGGATTACGCAGTGTAGAAGTAATTATACGATAATTTGCTTGCATTTTGATATTTTTAAAACATTTTTTCAGTATTGAAATTTCACGGTTTACACCAAGTTTGCATAAACTCCCTTTTCTCTAAACTGTAAAATTTTCAATTACCATAGAATTTAAAATTTAGAAAAATTTCTTGTGTGTTATAGCATCCTTTTAAGTTCAGTGACAATGAATATTATAGACTTATTTTCGTTTCGATGTTCAATTATGTAAAGCAAAAGTAGATCTGCATGCTTAAAATAAACAATAAGCCTTCTTATTTTCTTCCGACGCTAAATTATCAAAAGTAAACAACATTTCTATAGTTGTATCCCTACAAAAGTTTTTTTTTAATCAATAATTTTCTTTTTCGAGGAGGGAAAATGATTAAGAATGCTAAGTACCCAAAAACACGTAAAATATCAATAAATCAATGCGAGGTAAAGTCATAAAAATTTGTATTTAAAGAACACGTTTTTGGTATTTAGAAAATCATTATCTAAACATACAAAATGCAACGCTAGCATACTTATTTATTTATTTTTAATTGAATAAGATAGTAAGCATTACATACATCATAATTTTCAGGCTGTCTCAATATGCGATCCCTTTATCTCAAAACTGCACAGGAAAAAATTTAACTGGTTAAATTTATAGCGTCGTTCTCACGTCAGCAATTATTTTAATCACCTTGCAACTCATAACAACATAATTTTGAAATTAAAATGTTTCAACCAAGGCGCGGTCAAGTAGACCACCGCCAAAGAAGGACATACATATAAGCGACCACACATTAGCGTATATTGATATTTTTACAAGACAATAATTATTGCCTTATCAAAAGAAAATTCTTATCTTAACTAAAATAAGTTCATCAGAGCAGAAATTACTGCTGGGACACAAAGTTTATGTCTTCTAATTGGGTGGTCGCATCTTCTGTCCACAGCACACGCGTTTCTATTGAGACGTCAATCGATCGAGGAATCAATCAAGAACGATTAATCGAAGTATGAGATCGTTTAAAGCCATTTCTTGAAACCTATCTTTATCTGGTGCACCAATCAGAAGGGTGGAGCAAGTCCTTACTCGAGAAATTAGCTGACATCCACAATCTAAACCTTCTAGGCAGGGCGAGGCGACCACAAAACCAATGAAGAAATCCTATGCTTAATCAATTAAAAAAATGTATATATACCCTTTTTTTTTCTTAACCTGATTGATGTGCCGGAATGATGTAGTGCGCATGCGCGATAGTCGCACCCTTGGTGGGTGTGATCTTTAATGAATATTTTGGAAACATCATTCAAAATCGAAGTATAAACTAACAACGTGATAGGATATCCTAATGTATTCTATCATTCTATTTTGCAAACAAAGTTTTCAGTAAGCCCAGCAGGCGATTGAGTTGTCGAGGAAAAAGATCTACCGCCCCAATTAATTCTTCAAAACAATTTCTAACATTATAATTTAGATCAATGAATTCAAATTATGTATCTCTATTTCGCGCCCAAATCATAAACACAACATAAAAAAAAGCAGAACGTATGATGTACTAATTTAAAATCAATGACAACTACAGAAGCTAATGATTAAATTAACAAACCAAACAATATTATCTGAAATACCTATTTCAGTTTAATGTTTATAAATATTCATAATACTCATAAATTATTAAAGCGATCTTTCCTTTAACAACCGCATTGTGTAAAACATTTTAAGGGGGCGGGGGTTGTCGTTGAATATATATTTAACGCATTAATGGACATAAGGCCCAAAAAGAACTAAAATAAATTATAAATTCCCATCAGAAACAAAAAAGAAAACACCATAAAATTTCGTAAAACAATATATTTTACGAAACGAATAAATGCCAACTAGGAAACACCTAAATTCTTCGCAATAAAAGCGTTTGAAACCCTGAGGTATATTTTTGTTCCATGAGAAAATTACCTTTTTTTTTATTTTTGCCAAAAAAAGACCTTGTCAGCTACATAAATCATTAAATATGCTTTTTCTCACTGTAAAGTAAATACGATATCGCAATATTTGCCACGTGAGCAGCTGGAAAAATTTTAATAAACTCAAAGCGATCTCACAGCATTGCAAATAAAACTTAGAAACACCTTTGCAAAGTGAAAAGCGCGCGGAACTGCACCTGTTTTGCATTTGACGCAACAGAAGTTGTCGCGCAAAACGCAGATGCTCAAGCGCAGGAGAAAAACGCAACCAGGTGTCAGCGCGTGCTGCTTAAGAAGGTATTAAAGGAATGCACTTCGCTATCTATCTGGCGTGGGGAATTTTTCTCACGGCCCGCTTTCAGTTATGCATCAAAGCACCTGAAATGCCAGCTTGAGGTTGCCAAGGAGAAGACTTTGGCGAGAAAGAAAGATTCTTGCTACTTTTTCACGATTGAGTTGGCGGAAGTTTTTTAGTCGCGTGCGAAAGAATTTTACAGAAACTTTTGTTATTGTGTTAGAAATAAGATTATTATGGAATACTTTAAAGATTTAAGCCATAATAATAATATACTTGTGTGAATTTCAGCAATTTATAAGCGTGTAATAGTTCTTAAATGAAGTGTATTAAACCAAAATTGCAAACAATTAACAAACGATGTTAATTAATTAATTTTGTCAATCAATACACGTTAATTTGTTTGATTTAAGGAATAAGGAAAATAAATGATCACAATTAACCCTTTAACGCACAGATAATCATGAGAAAAAAACTGGCCAAAAAATTTTTATTTTTTTTTTAATATAAAAAAACACACATTAGAACGTTGTCTTTTCTTTCGTCTACTGCACTTTTGTTCCATGGAAAAAGGTTATATTCAGAGATGCCAACTACTCCCAACACGCCAAAATAATTTAAAAAAAGGTAAATAACTATAAAGTAAATTTTGCAAATATTTGACGATTTTTGCTTGCTTTTTGAAAGGTATAGTTTGGCATAAGTACCATAAAGTGGTGAATTATATAACCCAACGAATTACTTAGAAATAGTGGTGGATAAAAAATCTACTAAATTGAATTTATTAAACCAAGAATCACAATTGATAAACTACCACTTTAAAATATATATTTGTTGTCCGGAGCAAGTTGGCATCACTGTATATTTTATTCTTGAATAAATAAGAGTTATAGCTTACAATCCTATGTAAATGATAAATACCAATAAAACGATTTTTTTTTCTTAGCCTTCACATTGTTATTTTCAATTCCCGATTATATTCGAGTGTGAAACATTATAGCAGCATAAAATATAGCGCCGCTCGAATTATCTCGAGTGTTCTAAGTTTAGCCTGTTTAGCGCGCTCGAATTAACTCGAGGGCACAAGTTAAGGGGTTAATAAGGCGTTCGAATCATTAAAACCGTAAATTCATCATAAAATATATTAAGAAAATCGATATTTCAATGTTTACCCGAAAACCTATGTAATATAATTACGCATAAACTAAATTACCTATATTAAATAATGTAATCATTATTTTCCGCGAACGATGAATAACTTATAAACTCCTGAAAAACGCAAAAGAAAAACTAAGTTTGGCACGCATATCTCACGCCAATACGAAGCTACAAAGCCAAGCATGGATACTTAACTTTTCATATAGTAGCTGGCGTTATATGCCTCTTAAAAAGGTATGTACACCTGGCGCAAAATTGGAGAAACTACCAGAAAAAAACTAATAAAAAAAAGAGGGGGAGAAGTAGAAGTAAAGCATACAGACGCCTTCATCAAACCAGGTACCACATTCAGCTCCCCCAATAAAAAATGTCCCCCTCCCCCTAGTAGAGCGGCAGGTAAGTTCCTTGGCAGAGGGGCGTTAGTATATATACAGAACTCTTTAACAAAGAACAGATTGAAGCAAGTTAAAAAGATCAGTTCTGGCAGGCTTCATTAACACCTGCTGTCTCAAATACCTTCACCCACATCAGAATTTTTTTTTCTCAGTTTTCTTCTTTACTTTTTTATAGTTAGGTAACTTGAGAAGTAAGCAGATGATAAACTTGGACATTTTTATAGGGGGTTAAAGGGACTTTTTTTTTTTGTAATTTTTTTTCTTTCCTTTTGCTAAAAAAAAGTAAAACGTGCAGTAAAGTAAATTGCACACTTTCATGGAATGTGTGTTCGTTAATTTTTCTCCGATTTCGTACAAAAAAGAGATTTTTTTTTCTTTCTGTTTCAACCCTTCGAAGTGGAAATCTTATTAAGCTGAAATTTTTCACAAAAACGTCTGCTAGCATAATAGTGGGTTAACAAATTTAATGTTGAATTTATACAAGTACTTAATCTTACCTAATTCGGATGTGGGGCTTTCGAATTTGAAACTCGTTTTGTTTTCAAAATGATTTTTTTTCTTCTTTAGATTACTTTTTTGTTTGAATGTACAAGTTAATAAAGAACGTATATGTTATTTACATACAATGTACGTATGCACCTTTGAAAATAACGATTAAGACAAAAAACATGTGACCTAAATGTATTGCGAAAATTTTATTATTATATTGCATAAAAACTATAGCTTGACATTAGCGCAGCGAAAATATTTATGATGGGTTCCAAAATCTCATGTAACAAAAGAAAAAAAATGCTCCCCAGTTTAGAAGAAGTTTATTTTAATGATATTAAAAATTATAAATAATTAAACACACCATAATTTATTGCATATTTCAGACAACTTATTAAGTACCTCTAATGAAAAAATACTAAGGAGTAATTTTATGTAAAAATCACACGTTTGGGAAAAGTGGGGCTTTGTTTTTCGTTTGCCGTTTGTCTTTCAATTATAAAGTAGGAGTAAAAAGACTTTACTTACCACTTAAACAACTGGGTAATCCTTTTGTTCGCAATCTAGTCAAAAGAGCAGCGTGTAAATAATCGATATATCGAATTGCTTCTTCGATTACAGTAACCTGAAAAAAAAATTAGATTATATATAAATATGCGAAATAGATTCAGAGTAAAGCACGAAATTTAAGATTACAAAGTCACATCAACCATCGAAATTTTTTGCAGACACGAGTTTTAAAGGATGCCCAAATTCTTTAATTTTAATTTATTTAAAATGTTTCCAAAAGCTAGAAATTTTTAAATATATGTCACTTAAAAACTAATGCTTCATTCATTAATTTAATAGCTGTATTTTTATGACATTTTTTAACAGTATTACTATTCTTTGAAAATATGCTAATTTTAAAGAATTCATGTTTACATAATCTTCATGAATTTTCATAATTCTTTAGAAAATTAAAATTATATAAGAGCATGATTATAAAAAATGGAATAAAATTTAAAGAAAATGAAGCAAAATAATCACAAAAACAAGTATGAAAGTAAATTAACGTCTACTAAATTTAGCAGAATCTTTATTAGTATTATCGCAATAATTACAAAAAAAAAAAAAAGAAAAAGAAAAAGATTGCCTAAAATGAACGATAAATTCTAAACATTAATCTACGCATGTATTCATAGATTTTTATAATCATAAGTACACTGTAAAAAAATTCTGGATCAAATTACAGTTAAAAGTATTGGCACTCAGGGTGCCGGTATTTTTTACCGTAAATGTAACAAAACAAAAAATCTGATTTACCGTAATTTTTACAATAACAATTTCCGTAAAATCACTGTATCACTCGAAAAAAATTAGTATTATTATAAAAAGTACGTTTTATATATAAGAGTAAAAATAAATTTTACGGATTATGCACACTCAGTACCCGTGCTTCTTACCATAAATTGATCTGGAATTTTTTACAGTGTATATATGCTTATGATTATAGAAAAAAATGGCATAAAATTAGGCAAAGCTATAATTAAATCTTATACGAATATTTTCCAAAAATTTAAAAAAAAAAAAAATTATCATCAAAAAGTAGTACTAATTCCAGACATTTATAATTAACAATCAGTAATCCTAAGAATTTCCGATTATGTAATTCGGAAAAATAACTACATTCAAAGATATATATGCAACTAATACGTTTATAATTTACATTACATATTCATAAGCTGGAAACGGCAAAGTCATCCTGAAGTCACGTAATAAATCACCTGCTTTAATGTCACAATGCAGAAATAAAAACTACTTAATCAATGCAAAACATTGATATCCATAAAAACCTATCAATCTCATCAATATTCAATATAAAAAGAACACACAAGAACAAAACCAGACATCAACTAATCCATACATGAATCACAGATTTCTTCATTTAAGATAGCCCATTATTTGAAACAATGGACAAAAATAAAAGAATACGGAGCAATTGATGTCTGCAGTTTCATTTAATGGATCCATTATTAGTGTGTCATTGGTATAAAATTATTCATGAATAAGTTGATTGAGATACATTATTGAAAAAATAGAACAATTATCTGAGATAATGGCTTATTCTTCTTTGAAAAGATCATTTAGATTTAAAGATATCGAATACTAAGTTCGAAATTCCAATCTTCGTGATGGATTTATTTAATGTAACTGTTATTAATAACGTGTAGTTGAAAATGGAAAATAATTGCAAGTTCGAGGGATTAAAATGTAATTGACGTAATTATATCAAGCTTATAACAGAGCAGCTTGCTTAATGTTATTTGTCTAGTATTTAAATATAGCAAAAAATGGTAATACGTTTATATTCTAATGAAAAAATACTGAAGCAATAAATATGACAATCTAAAAAATTTTCTTAGCAAAATTAATTTCGTATGCTTAACTGCTGTTTTGTTATGTTGTTTAAGTAAAGATGGGCAAAAAAATTGGTAAATTCCGCAAAACTTTACAAAATTACGGTCCTCTAACCTAGATCTTCAAATATTTCTGGGTCCTTCTATATCAAAAGCGAGCCCCTTTTTAAAACATGAATTCTCCATTTTTTTAAAATCCCTCTATTAAGATTCACACTCATAATTATTCTATCAATTTATGGACAAAATGAAGAATTTCAAAACAAGAAGAGTTATCGTTTGGCAATTAAGTTTTTTAATTGGGACAGATCAAATGCCTGCATCAAGGAAAAACAACGATGTAATTTGGTATTCAGAATTATTCCAATTTCCTTCTTCAGTTATTAACAACAAACTAAAGTTATTAATAACAAACGAAAGTAAAACGTAAGGTTATTTAATTATTTTAATTTCCTTCTTCAGTTGTTAACAACAAACGAAAGTTATTAATAACAAACGAAAATAAAACGTAAAGTTATTTCTCACTAAAAAACTTAACGCGAGAAAAAAAAAATTTCACGCAAAGACTGGTGGTTACAAATTTATCTACATAAATCTGCTCCCAAGTTGTTTTTATTATTATTATTTACGGCTCTTGAGAATTACGCAAATTAGGGGACGCTTCAAAACTTAATTTTCGCGTCCTCTACGATTTTTGACCTATAGTATTTAAAAACAAAGTAATAAATTATTAATTAAATTATTAGAACGGAAAATTTAACGTCAAAATTACTCGGTAATAATATGATTATTAGTTTAACATTAGATCATTTTAAATCAACATTATATCTATATTACGATATCGAAAAAAAATACAATGCCGCACTTTCCAAATTGTGCATAATATTTAAAGACTTTTTACAATACTTCGAATTATGCATTATTTTTAAACTTAAACTTAACTAATTATAAATAATTGATTTCACGTACGAGAATAATGTAGAACTAAAGAGATATTTGGGCGAAATAAAACACAAATTGCTTCAAAAAGTCAATTAATTGCGAAATACTCATAATTTCTTGACTCGTTAATAAAAAATTGTAAATTTACATACATTTGATATTGTTTTATTTTATGATTATATTAATCTTAATATATGCTGCATGATTTTGCTAACGAGAATAACGTACAGTTGGTAAAATTGAGGAAATTATTAATTAAAAAAGTTGCATGTTATGTCTAAAATATACATAATTTTCTTACTCATAAAATTTACTATATGAAATAGATTATATTGTAGTTTACTGCTGTCTGTTATTTTACCATAATACCTCTTACTGGTATTGCGTATTCTTAATGCCTAATATTCATTATATTAATATTAAGTATTTTCTTATACAGGGTGCGTAGCCACATTTTCCAACAAAAAATAAGCACCTTTTAAGCACTTTTCAAGTACTCAAAAAATATTTTTAGGCACTTTGAAAAAATATCATAATTAGACAGGGTTGGCAAGTTTTTACCATTGATGGTTTTATCCAGTTTTATTTGCTTGGCAGTGACGAAGACGATGGCGCGTCGCAAACGATGAAATTAACAATAGAAAAAATATTGACAATGTTTAGTCGGTCCCCATAATTAGAAAACATTCGAGAAATTTTTAGATTTTATTACACAGGGCGGAAAATGAAGTCTGACATTGAGAATTTCCTGCAAAATGCAACAGAGTTGCACATGAGAAACAAAAATCCCTACCACTGAATCCAGCTCAGTATACGCAAGTGCGGACCCGCAAGTATTTCATCAAACATGTAAAACAAGTGGTGTTTTCATACACTACAGACCAACGGTACGCCGAAATAGATTGGGGTTGAATAAATTGTGAAAACGTTGAATAGAACTATCTCTTTTTGCATAATTTGTGGCGAAATTCAACATGGCAAAGAAAAATATCACATTTCGGAAAAGGAAAAATTAAGCACATTTTAAAAACACCCATGGAAAAAAGCACTTTTAAGGGCTTTTAAAAAACGAAAATCGGAAATAAGCACCTTTAGGCACTTTTTAAAAATGCTACGCTTCCTGTTATAACAATTTACCACTATGATGAACCGAATAAAAAGGTTCAGAAAAGAAACTAGCACCTAAAAACAGAAACTATCAAACCGAACTAGCAAGTAAAAACAGAAACTAGCAACTGAAAACCGAAACTAGCAAAAAAGGAATGCACTGCATTTTTGAAAGGAACGATTGCATACTAATTTGACAGGAGACAAAAGATTATGTCCCAGCAAAGAAAAAAAAATCTTGAGTCGCTCTCCCTTTCTTTTTTTATATCACTTAAAATTTTACTTGAAAACTCAATTTAACATTAACCTGTACATGGATTGTACAAGACAGGGATCCAAAAAAAATGAATGAATGAAAAAAAAGAAACGGAAATGACTCGTCACCGTCGAGTACCCACAAGTAATAAGAACAATACACCATAACTCATAAAAAAAATTGCAGTTTTTTTTTCAATGGTGTAGAGTTGACCCAATTGGAGCCTACCAAGCGAGATTCATTAAAAAAATTCCAAGATAACAGTTTTCTTATTATCAGATAACGCGACGCCGCGAATAATAACATTGTTCTGACGACTCATTCTTCTGAGATGGTGGACGATTAGTTCTGATTTTGCCCTCAGGAAGCCTCACTGTCTTAATACCCCCTCAAAACGCACACCTGCAGGTGAGGTTAAGCAAAAGAAAATTTTCTTGTAAAAATTGATTATATTTTTTGTTTGGAGGTACCTTTTAGGATTTTGATTGTCACATCGCGTGCGATTGTAACTTTTTTTATTTAATAATTATTCTATTTTGATAAAAAATTACAGGGTTGATAATTTGAATGCATAAAATTAAAATGTCACCTGCTTTATTAAATGCTAAAATTATCGTCTGCTTCATTTTAAATATCGTCTGATTCATTAAATATTAAATTATCGTCTGCTTCACTTTAAATATCATCTGATTCATTAAATATTAATTATCGTCTGCTTCATTTTAAATATCGTCTGATTCATTAAATATTAAATTATCGTCTGATTCATTACAAATATCGTCTGATTCATTATATTTATAGAATAGCCGTTCGACTTAAATAGTTAATACACAGAATTAAAATTGTGTTGTATTAAATCTAGCTGAGTGAGTATTTAATAATTTTTTTTTTTAATATCTAGAAAATGAAATCTTACTTTGGAAACGAGGGGTTTAGCTGCAATGGAGGGTACCATATTCCGTAGTCTCTGGTATTCTATTCGTTTAACCATCCTCTTCCTGCGCATCTTCTCTTTTCGTTGCTTGATGAGGAGAGCTTCCCGCCTCCTTCGGGATGATGCGGAGATGTGTGAGAGCCATTCTCGGCCGTTACTCACTCTTTCCATCAGAACACCTTCACTGGCACTATCTTCCATTGAAAGGTGTGGGGCGAATTTCAGATTGTTCGACAGGAATTCCGAATCTGTTTTATACATGGTGTATCTGAAAAATAAATAAAGCTATTGTAAATCTTATGCTAAGTGTCTTGGTAAAATAGCGTAGGAGGCTATTTAAATGCTGAAAAACCTACCGGGGGGAGGGTTTTTTGTGATTCGCTTTTTTTTTTAATCTAACTAGAGGAAGAAGGGGGGTGAGCAATGCTTACGTAAATCATTAAAATCTCCTTTGTTTCAAATTTTCTTAAAATGCAAATTAAAAAATGTAACATAAAATTAGACGTAGAAGAATTTAAAATCAGGAATAACAGCTGAATTATTAATAATAATTCTATAACTTAACTGCTTTTATCGATTTTTAACAAATTAAATTTGATATTTTTTTGATAAAAGTAAAATGTTAGAGCACATAAAATTCTTATACGAAATAATTAATTAGTAAAAAAAAAGAAGACTATAAATGGGAAATATGTGATTCATAAATTATATCAGAAAATTTGATTCCGGTTACAGTATTTGATGGAACAAACTAATGGCTTAAAAGAGATTTACTTTTAACTCCAACATATATATCCAAAATAAAACATTATTTACACGGAAATTAATTTGAAAAATGAAACAAACAAAATGGAAAATTATTAAAATGTAATCACAGCATTCTGTAACTGTTTTTTATTTTCTCCGTGCACTTAACATTAAAAGGATGATGACGGAAAATCATTATAATAAGGTCTAATTACGTAATTCAATTGTCTGCTAAAATAGTAAAACTATTAAGGTTGGGAAGTTCAAAAAAGTAAATTACTGGCAGCGCATTATCGTAAGTGTTTTCTGACGATAATTACTTTTCTAGAAGACTTCTGTAAAGGTAACGGCTGTACTTATACACTGTACAGCACTTTCGTAACAGCCAGAAATTAAAAAAGAAGGAAGTTATTTATAATCGCTACATCGTTAACTAAAACATCAATTGTTTCCTTCATATTAAGAAAGTTAAAAAAATCATTTTACCCTACAAATATAGAAAAAAAATTTATGTAAACTTAAAACTGGGGAACATTTTTTTTCTTTTCATTTTTATCTGCATTTCAATTACTAATTTGTAATCCGTTTCTCTCTACAAACAGTGAAATCCCACTTATCCGCTACGTACGGAGTGGTAGGAAGAAGGCAATAATATATATTAGTTTACGGTGCGATATGTTAAATTCGAACGTTTCTTGTCCAGGATGTTATTTTTTTTAAAAGAGCAGACTAGAGTATATGCATGCATATAATAGTAATTTATAAATTTGTACTTTCAAACAAAAAATAAACTAAACTAAAAATAACACTTCGAAAAAATTCTGCAACTTTTCGAACAAAAATAATGTAATATTTAAAATCCCCACAACCGAATTAAGTCATATCAAATGCTTATATAAATGCAACAAAAATTTAATCCCTATTGTAACCTTTACTCAAAGCATATTATTTTCAATTGCGAAAAAACAGTAACTTCTATCTTTATGAAATTTTATTTTATCAATATACTATTGTACCGTTAATTAAAACTAAAAGAACTGTTTTAGTTGAAGAAATTGTAATTTCTTTTATTGCAGAAGTAATTGTGATAATATAACTCTTTCGCATTAGAATATAAATTTGCTTTGATATACTATATAAATATACGATAACAATTTATTAAAACATTTAATTGTTTTCTTTAATTTTAATATACTATATCCTATTAAATGTTAAACTAATCAAATAATTTAATTTGATCGAATATGTTGTTGCTTTTATCGCAAAAAAATTAGTCGTTATATTAAGAATTTTCTATATAATAAAAAAATAACTTTAATATTCTGCATAAATATGTAATATTCAATAACAACTCATTAAATATTTAATTCCAATTTTATTTTAAATCATTTTTTTTCTTCATATTGACACGCTTTCCTTTAAAAATCAAAATTATCCAATCTCTTCATTTGATTCTACACATATGTAGTTTCTATTATTGCAAGAAAAAAATACACATAAGAAAAGGATTCTTCGATATTATATAATAAAGTATCTTTAATATTCTACCTAATTATATAATAATCAAATAGCAATTTATTAAAATATTTAATTCCCATTTTATTCTAAATCGTTTTCTTTCATTGGCATACAATTTTACTTAAAATTAAATAACCTCAATCGCTTTATTTGATATAGAAAGGAAGTTAACATTATTGCAGGAAAAAAATTACCCATTAAGGCATGATTCTTCAATGTTATAAAATTATGAAATTTTAATATTCTATCTAAATATATAATATTCAATAGCAATTTATAAAATATTTAATTTCTTTTCTTATCCTCAATCGTTTTCTTTTATCTTGATATAACATTCTTTGCAAATTAAATTAATCCAATCGCTTTATTTGACGCGAAAATCTAGTTTCATATTTTAGAGAAGAATTAGTCGTTAGTAATACAAAGTTGGTTTTACATAAATAAGCACTCATAGAGAAAAATATACATACAATGAATATGGAGAGCGACTTAAGAAATTTCGCAACTAGACGTCTTGTTCTTAAGAACGTATTTTCAAGCTGCCACTAAACATTATTTATCGTTATCAAGTTGCTATTAGAAAGCGGAAACACTTAAACCTTTCTATTCTTTTTTTTAAGGGAAAAAAATTTTTTTTTTACGAAATTTACCGTCTATCTGATTTTTGTCACTTTTTCAATACCGAATCTCCATTATAACCACCATAAAGTACTTTATTAACAATTTGCCAGAAGTGATCTAGCGTCTTTCAAGTCCTTACAACCATTTGCGTTCGGAAAATTGAATAAGAGTAGCATCAAAGATCTAAAAAAATCACAAAAAAGGGAGAAAAAATGACTGGCATCGAAGATTCAAAAAGCCCAAGAATCGTCAACAAGAACCGACCATTAAATTGGGTGGCAAAAAAAAGCACGTAATGGCTCTTAGTGGCTTTAAAAAACGACTGAAAGTAGTTCGACTCGACTGAAAACATTTTTTATGCTTATTTGAAGTTAACTGCTTTGCCTTAACGACTTAATGAGGATGAGACTCGGTTGTTTACGTTTAGGATTTTCTTAAAGAATCCATTTCTGAGATAGGACAAAGGCCTGAGAGAGGGGGATATTCGAAAGATTTACTCAGGTGAGCAAGCGATGAATGGGCCAATCTTTAATGTGACTAGATAAAAGTCTTTTCAATAACCACTAGGGAGGGTTTGGCATCAAAAAAAGAAAAAATATCAACGCCAATTCCTGTCAAAACTTTTTTTTATCGCCGTGTTATGCAGTCACGGTAAACCAATTACTTTTGAAAAGAATGCTAAGTGTGCGCGGTAGCCCATCGATAAAAGAAGCTTGAGGCTACCTTTTTCCGCATCTGGATTTATATAATTGGGTTTTCATCTGTTGATAATGAATATTAAAATACGGACATTTAGTTTAGTATTGACTGTTATATGAAAATGCTTCTAGTTGAGTTTTCTTATAAGAAAGAGCGTTTGTTAATTAAATGTCAGTTTTATTTGAAGGCTAGAATGTTAATAACGGTTGATGCTTTCAAGCAGGAATGCTATAGAATGCGGCAAAGAAGGGATGGTCAGTCAGTAAATTAAAACAATTATATTTTGTTGGAAGCAAAAAATAATTAGCACCAAACAAATAATTCAATAAAATTCGTTAAAAAACGGAAAAAAATTTTTTTTAAGAAAGATAATTTTAATAATGAACGTTCACTGAAGAAAAAATTCGAAACAAAAAGTTGTTTGTTGAGTTTGTTATAAATGTGTTGAATATATCTATTGATTAATACAGGTTCAAAATAACAGTTTTTCTAAAAATAAAAAAATAATCTACTTCTAGAAGGGGAAAAAAATAACTACTTTTCTGGAATGCTTTGAAACTGAAGTTTATTAAAAATAGCTTGGTTTGATTGATAATATTGCACTATAGCTACAATAATTTTGAAATTATGAACATTTAATTTTTACCGAAGTGATTGGACATCTACCAAATCCTGGGCAAAACTACTAAATTGTAGCAAATTTTATCGTGTAAGACGAGTAATTTTTATCGAAGTGATTGGACATTTGACATCTACTAAATCTTGGGCAAAACTACATAATTATAGCAAATATTATCGTGTTAAAAAACACCAAAAAGCTATGGGAACATCAAAAAGGCGAATAATTTTTACCGAAGCGATTTGATATTATTTTTGATAAAATAAACAATAATATGTATATGGTTTTAAAATATATATGATAAAATTTGGTAATTTTTATCATGATTCTTCAAAGCATGGCATAAAAATCTTTCATTCGGTTAAATTCTATTTCAGTTTTGTACTTTTTACTAAATGGGTGGTAACAAGAGCTGTTACTAAATGGATGGTTTACATATAGTATATTTCGGTTTTTATAACCAGAATTATTATGATTATTACTTTTAGCAGAATTTTTTTACTGCGTTGGTTTGAATTGAAGACTACTAAGAAACTAAACACTACAGATACATGTATAGTTAAAAAAAAAAAAAAATTCCTCACAATTTCAACAATGCTTTGAAATTGATATCTGGATTTCGTATACACTTCTACAGAGTTTTTTTTTAATCGTAAGAAACCACGTAGTTCACAACGATCTCCGCCGGAAAACAAAGATGCTCTGTCTTGTAATACTAAATCACGTGATTTTGATTAAACACGTGAAATGAAGTCCTTTCATTTCATGAAAAGCAATGCAAATAAAAATTTTTGACCGATTATTAATTTATGAAATATTAAGCACCAACTTATCTTTAGTTTTTTCAAAACAAAAAAATTAGAAAATAATTAATTTTATCTAATCAATTAATTTCGAATTTAATTAATTTAATTAATCTTAATTAATTTTAGCCAACATGTTGGCAAAATAAACTATTTTTCGTGCTTTTCTTGTTATTGGAAGAGAAACAATAATCAAAGATATTATCAAAGGTAATTCACTACATTTTAAACCATGATTAGAAATTAATTTTTTACGGAACTTAAATGAAAATTTCAATGTAATCTAAACAAAATTCTACCTCGTTTTTCTATGAACTTATGAAATCAACTATTTTAAGCAACCTTCAGAAAGAGTTTCTAAATAATCTAAGTACATTTCTGTGACATTATGACATGAACACAAAATTTGCAAAGCAAAAAATAATTTTCGAATGATATGAACACAGAATTTGCAATGCAAAAAATAATTTTCTAATGACATGAACACAAAACTTGCAACGCAAAAAATAAATTTCTAATGACATGAACACAAAACTTGCAACGCAAAAAATAATTTTCTAATGACATGAACACAAAATTTGCAACACAAAAATAATTTTCTATGAATATTAACTGAAAATCTCAAGAAAATTTTCTGTATACATCTTTGTGACGTCATGATGTGATGAAACACACTTCAGCAATTAATATTTTATTCAAATTAAATCACAACGCAAAGAAAACCTTCTGAAAAACAATTCTGTTAAATTATGATATGAACACATAGTTTTTAATTCAGAAATTATTATTGTATGCAAATTACAAGACAATTTTAGATAATCTTCTAAAGAAAATATTAACACGTTTTGACACAAATGTATTCAAATCGAGCTTAAATTAGCTTTTTCTCTAATTGCTATTAGAGCTTACAATTAAATGTTTAAAACAATATTATTTTTAATTATATGCTAGAAAGCAGTTTATTATTCTAATAATTTCTAAAAATTTAGATTACTTGTGTGAAAGTATGTGCAGTTTATTATATTCAAAACCTTGATTATTTCTTTTTAAATTACTTCTTTATTGAACACGAGCCAACATGAAAAAGTGAAATAAAATTAATTATTTCTACGACTTCCTTTAAATAACATTCGAATAATAAACAATTTTTATCCTAATATTTAAATTGCATTAAGAGTTAAAATAATAATGATAAGTAAAAAACTTACATTAAATATGCAGATGTCTACAAATTTAGTCCAAAATATTTATCTTTGGTCACAGTTCAATAAGCTTGTTATTTTTACAGCAGCTGCTGATTTTCGATACAATTTAAGCAGACGAAAATGTTTCCTCGAAATAAAAAATCCAAAGGCACTCAATATTATCACTAAAATATTAAATATTCACGTTATTAAAAAATATCATGATTTATCGGTCAATATTTGCAGTCGATGGAATATCCAGATGAACTCAAGTCGATCGAGGGAGATGATCAATTTTTAGGTCCTTTCGACTAGAGAGGAATCACAGTTATGAAGTTGGGAACGTGGTCGCGTTGAATAAAGCGTGGATTAGGTTGCAACATGTAAACAGGTGAAATTTGCGAGGTTGGCATATTGGCGAGATTAGCTTTGCGCTAATTTTCAGAAAGGAATAATTCTATTCTATAATTCCTATTTCCATGTTCCAGTAAGGATTATCGTATTTAATTGAATAATTTTAGTTTAACGCCATCATTTTTGAAGCTTTTTTTTTTAATTTTTTGATTGCAAAAGTAATTAATGTAATGGCATTGCAAAAACAATTGAGTAAAATTTCATTATCATGTAAATCAGTGTTTCCCAAAGTGTGGTACGCGTACCCCTGCAGTGTTTCCTAAACTGTGGTACGCGTCTGGGTACGCGTACCCCAAGGGGTACGGGAGCAGATTGGCAGAGGTACGCATTCTTATGCGAAATATCTTGCAACAAACGAAAATGTTAATTTTTTTTAAAAAAAAAACAAAGCTAGCTATGAAAATTTATAGTTACGTATTTTTCTACTGGCTATTTTTTGCAAAGTTAACAGTTAATAATTAGTGGTGTCAACAGCTAGTGGTGATTTCTAAATTTTGTGCAATTTTTTTATACTAAAAAATACATTCATTTTTTTATTAGTGGTACACAGCGTTACGAGCAATTTAGAAAGGGTACACAAAAGTCATAAGTTTGGGAAACACTGCCCTGGGGTAAGGGAGCAGTTTAGCTGGGGTTCGCGTTCTTAAGCGAAATATATTGCAACAAGCAAAAATTTTAAAAGTATTTATTTGAAAACAAAGCTAACCATGTAAATTGACGATTACGTATTTTTTATTGGCTATTTTTTGCAGAGTTAACAGTTAATTATTAGTGGTGTCAACAGCCAGTTGTGATTTTTAAATTTTGTACAATTTTTTTATAGTAAAGGTTTGAAAAAAGCAAAACAATAAAACAGCAAAAACAATATCATCTTTCTCACTGATGCAAATTAACTGATTAACAAAACTTTGTAACAAAAAAAGAAAAATATACATATTTTTTTAAAAAAATACATTCATTTTTTTATTAGTGGTCCACAGCGTTACGAAAAATTTAGAAAGGGTACACAAAAGTCATAAGTTTGGGGAACACTGATGTACTTAAATTAGTACTTCGTTGCTTTTGCTCTATATTATTGTTTATAACTAAATGTGTTTTTAAATAAATTTTTAGTGTTCACAAAAAACTAAAAACAACAAAAAAAAGCTCCTTTAGCTGCTCTTTAAACGCAGTTTTATTTTTATGTCCATTGGAGCGTCCGAATCGAACCTTTCATTTCAATATAGCGAACGAATTTTTGTTTCCTTCGTTTTTATTTACTTATTTAATTTCAAGAACTCCACTCTAAAAACAGTTGTTAAACCTTTTTATACTTTCCAAACTAACATTTTTCCATTTACAATGTATTTTTATGAAAATTTACGAAGAAATTACTCAAATAACTATTTCTCCTGATGTTAGCGCTCAAAAAACATAAAACATCTTGATTCCGCTATAAATAAAGAAAGAGGGACAGGAACGCCTATTCCTATTCAAAATAGTTCTGGGATAGGAATAGGTCTAGGGTGAAAATAGTAAAATAATGAAAACTTTTCATTATGGAGAGTTAGAAGTTGCATTTTGTTTGAAAGTAGGTGCCTCCTGTATTCATTCATATACTTTACACATTTCTTTTCAAACGGCTCAATGAATTCAGCTATTATATTTTTCTTGTTTGAAAACTGTAGTCATTATTTAACTGACGAATTCATTATTTATTTTGTAGATAATAAGCATTAATTTTTACTTAACTTTGTCTTAGATTTTAAGAGTCTCATGAACATTATGTTATGTAGTTAAATTCGATGCTCTCTGATCAGCGTTACTCCAATTTTTTAGAAAATAAAGTAAAATTTTTGAAGGAAAAAGTAAAAATGATAATTTTGCTAAAGTAAGGCCAATATGAGTTGTCCCAGGTTCAAATCCCAGCGATTTCCAGATCATACGGATTCTGCTCCAGGCTTGCAGTAACCATGTGCTGATATAAAATATCTTCAATGCCAAGTTATGCGGATCCTAACTTTGGAAGATTTGCATGGTTTCAGTCACCTTGTAACGGAAATGTGAGGTAATTGCTTAAGAAAAAAGTCTCCAGTGAAGATTAGTTTGTATTAATTCACTTATCTTCTGAGTAAGGTTCAACAACACAACGGTGCGTTGAACATTTGACAGCCGTAAACCCAAAAATGAATCACCCGTTCCACGCCGGTTATGAATTAAAGTAAAATATATCCAGCATTACGAGTATCCAGAGTTACGAGTAAATATTTAAAAAAAATGTGTAAATAATCTATTATTTTGTGTACTCAATATATAGCGACCTAACGTTAGAACGACCGTATTTGTTTGAACTATAGAGATCGTTTTATCGAGCTGTCGACTGTAATATACATGGAATTAAAGTCAAAAATATGCTTTTTCTATCTTTGTTTCTCCATCAGTAACATGTATTTTTTTTCTTCTTTTTTTTTTGTAGAAATGTGAACATTATTTAAGATTGTTTTAATAAAAACTTTGAAGTAACTAAATATGATTAATTTGTGCGTTATTTTATATTCAAAATCATATCTTGTTGCATTTAATTATTAAAAATTCCACTGCACAGAGTAGAAAAGAAATATTAAAAGTAAATAAGAAATATTAAAAATAAATATGGAATATTAAAAGTAAATAAGAAATACTAAAAGTAAATAAGCAATAAATTAAAAATAAATAAGAAATATTAAAAGCAGATAAACAATATTAAAAGTAAATAAGAAATATTAAAAGCAAATAAGCAATATTAAAATAAATTAAAAAATATAATTAACATTAAAAAATAAATGGAAAAGAAATCCTTTTATTCTTTGTTGAGAATCATTTAAATGCCTTTATAGTATTTGCCTACAAAAAAAAATTTGTCTCTAAACCAAGACAAGCTCTGTTCAAATTTCGCGAAGTCTTGCTTTTCAGAAAAGCACACATCACTTTACGCGGAACGGCAGATGCTAGTTGGGGGAGAACAGGAAATTCCGAAGGTCTAATTCATTCGATATCGGAGAACTTCCGCGGACACATTATCTATTCCTTTCAACCTTCAGATAAAATGACCAACAAAAATTGCAATATCGGAAATACCACAGAAAACCACATTACAAGTAAGAACAAAGTGAACTAAATGTATGAAAACATTAGGAAAAAAAAATGGAGCAAAATAGTTAGGTCATTAATAATGTACTTTTTAAACAGATTTTTTTTTCAAACAATCAAATTTTGTTTTGTTTTGTGTAATACCATTAATTCAAAATTTCACCGAAAAACGAATATATATATAGTATATATATATATATATACATATATATATATATTCTAATAAATTAATATAAATCAAATATAACAAATATTTAGGACATTCACATTAACGACTATGTGATTGTTGATAATCATTTATGAAAGTCAACATTCTCTTGTTTTCGATCATTCGGTTAGTTTATAGTTTAGGTTTTTATCTAAGCTAAGTTTTTTATTCCATTATATATTTGATTATTATTATTAATTTAGTTATAGTTTCACCAAGACTTCAATTTCTTGTGCATTTCAACAAAAGGTAAGATTATTTAAATGTATGAAAAGCCATGGTGATTATGAAGTGGTTTGCTATGATTACTGTACTAACAGCAATTGTGAATGATTTAAACAAAAACCTCGCATTCTTGAAGAAATTAGAAAAAAGAATGGAGTCTATGAAAGAGTAAGTAGCAACTACACAGTTAGAATTTTCATTCTAAAATTATGGTAAAATAAACGGCAACGGTAGTCCAATCAACCGCAAAATTTTCAGCGAAGAACATTTTTTATCTTAACGGTTTTGAAACAGTTTACAACTAGTATAATTTACGAAAAAAAAATTAATATCAAACTATTCGGTTCTTAAACCATTTACTACTAGCATAGTTTCAAAACCAGAAAATGGAAATTTAACTGGACTTGAAGATAGTTTATTACCTTTAAAGTGCTGCCATCTATGCGTAAATGAGAGTATCGTACTCTAATAGACCAGAGTCACAAATCGGGGAGTGCTGGAAACTGGAAACTTTTCATTGTTGAAAGGAATTAAGGAAATATAGGAGTATATGTAGGAGAAATATAGGAGACTCGATTCTGTGTTGAGGTACCTTTTCATAGATGAAGGTTGACATGGACGATAACTGCTCACTTCCCACAAAGTTAATAAATACTATAGCACTATCAGCAAAATAGTTGATGAAATGAGAGAAGCCAATTCCTAATGGTACGGAAACCGTTAATGCGTGAGGCAAATTGCGAAAAACACTTTATTCCGCACTTTAGCGGATTACCGTAGTTAATCAGCAGATTAGCTATAAAATGTATTAATTAACGGCTTTTCAGCTTTAGTTACATAAAAATGAACAATTAGCTTCTTACGCAAATAAAATGGATTTGTTATTTGTTAAAAGTGTAATAATTTTCTCCATTAAAAACCAATAAGCAATCTCATTACTGTGATATTGCAATAATATAAATTCATGTCAACACTATCATTACTGAAAGATCCATTAGCAATTCTTTTGTTTTACTTTTTCAAGTAACAATACCTCCCCAACAGCTCCTTGAAGAGGATATCTATCAACAATTAACGGTGCAGAAACCGTTACTAAGCACATTACAGAGGTAAATTGTGAAAAACACTTTATTCCGCACTTTAGCGGATTACCAAAGTTAATTTGCAGATTAACTATTAAAAGTGCATATTAATGGTTTTCCAGCTTTATCGATAACATAGTTTTATATATAAATGAGCTATCATCTTCTTAGGCAAATAAATTGAGTTTATTATTTGTTAAAAGTTTAATAATTATTCTGCATTAAAAATCAATAAGCAATCTCATTACTGTCATATTGCAATAACACAAATCTATTTCAACACTATCAATCGATAAGGACCCATTAGCAATTCCTTTGTTCTACTTTTTCAAGTAACAATACCT